GTCTTCATAGCCTTGTTCTTTTCCCAGGTGTCGCAGAGAGACTTCCACATCCGCTTGGCATCGTTAACTGAAAAAATGGCACTGAATCATTGAAAAGTACATAGAGGAAGGTGTAACCGAAACATCAAGCAAAGCATAAAAAGAAAATATTTCTAAGCAAATTACCGAGGCAATCGTGTTCTTCTTAATTTGTGCAGGACGTTCAACCAAGCGGAATTTTTTTTCTCCGCGACCCTGTATTCGTCGCTGCTTACGTGCCAGAGGCCCTCTCTTCCTCGATGCAGGTGATAAGATCGATCTTTAAAGAAGCCATTGTACTCTAAAATCAAAGGAGTATTAGACAAGTTAGTCAATGTAAAACCGTGAACATGACGCAAGGAACAAAAAATCTAACACGCACAACAGATTGTTTCTGACCAAACAGAAGTCAGTATGAGAAAAAGAAAAGTATCCTATGTGGAAATATAGATTTAGTGCGACGAGGACCTATCAATAAGATGATGATAGAAAATAATAAAATAATGGGGAAGGACGATCTATCGCGCCCTATCTTTTCGATGGGCCGCGGCGCGTCTAATTAATCGCCGCTCGACGCCATAAGAAGCTAAGAGGTCGGCGATCGCCAGCGCCTGCCATACCTCCAATCGTCACCTATGGATGGAGCCTAAGAGCCAGTATCTACGAATCTGCAAAAGGGTGGGATTTGAGTAGATTTCCAGAATGATGCATTCCGGGGTTAGGCAGAAGATCACTCCTTAGCGAACAGTTTCCTGTATCTCTCAGTAAGCTGAATTTTGCCCATCGAATGAAGCCGCTTAATCTTCTTTGAGGGTATTGATACTGCGCAAATATTTCTTAGTGCCCCATAGTGGTACGGGGGGTCGCCATCTCCAATCCCTTCTGTCATTCGCAGTCTAGGTGAGATGGTAGTTAGACATCGCCACGGACCTCTACTATAGTACGTGTTTCTTCGCATAATTCTAGCGAAATGGGTACGCTACGTCGGTGGAGGATGGTTCTACCTGTGAAGCGAAGACTATTAACAGAAACCTTGATTACGTCTCTGTAGCACTCAGTAGCAATGATCCACTGCGAGTTGCTTTTCCGCATAAAACTGCACAATTGTTCGTACCATGGGAGCATATGACCCAGTTGTACAATCAATTAATTCTGCGAGGAGAATTATTTAAATAAAAATACAGCATATTTGAAGATGGGTAGTCCGAAACACAGATAGAGTACCAAGGTCATCAAAAATAAGAGATGTGTGCTCAGTGCAAAGTTTTTCGATCCTCCTAATTAGGGCTGAATGTTCCATCGCCACGTTATTCAATCCAGGTTGTGCTGTATGGGTGCTCCGCACCTAAGAAATGTCATCCCATGTTCCGGTGCTGTACACGTTCTCGTTCTAGTGTTTCAAAATGTTCGTATACCGAATGTTGGTGTACTTGTGATGGAAAGCTCGGTTGTGCTCGATCTTGTCTCTCAATCTTACTTGCGCTTAATGTTCTGCGTTCTTCCTTTGCGGTGTACTATTTTAGTTAATTGTTGTTCGAGGCGGTTAATCTTTCCGCTCGTTAAGAGAGTTAATAGCCTATATGTGTCCATATCTTCTTTTCTTCCTTGCTTCAATATAGGATATCTATTTTCTACACTATAGATGATAGCCTCGAATTCGTTGGTACTAGCATCTTCTTATTGCTTTCCTTATCTCGCGATTAAATCCTTTGATGAAAAAGTCAGTGGTCATGCGCTATACACTTCCTTCTTAGCCATCAACCACTTTGATCTTATTGGTCTTTTTGGCAAATTTGTCAACCTAGTCCTTTCCATGGATTATGTTACTACTCGTCACCAAATTGCTACAAGGTGCCCTATTCTTGAGTTGTTTCGCTATTCTATGACTAACTGTTTCCATGGCATCTTGTCATGTTCGAGGATCTGTTGGTACCTCAATTTAGCTCCTCCTGTCAAATGTAGCAGTTGTGATTTTTTGCCACCGAATGAGGGATGGACTTTGTTTGAGTTCCGTATGTTTATCAGAGGTTTTTTCTCCTGTCCCTGAG